CCCGCGGGCAGCGGACAGGGTTATCCGCTGCCCACGCGCTCCGCGGCTTGGCTCTGCTTTGCCGCAAGTCAGAACTGGCGGTCAGTTTCAGCAGCGGCTGAATCTGGACGCCAGTTCCGACTTACATACAGATTCAACTTAAGAACAAACCTACAGTCCCTATCTTGTACGTAACCCGGGAACTGCCTGTACTTTCCTTCTGATTAGATACCATCCTTAGCTGACTGCCAGAATGGCAGGATTTTGTAGACTCTGATATTTTGGGAGCAGCACTGTCAAAATAAACTGATTACAGGGCAAGAGCATTGATCAGGACATGTAAGAGAATGAAAACACAGGTATGGGGATGGCTACAGTCCCTATCTTGTACGTAACCCGGGAACTGCCTGTACTTTCCTTCTGATTAGATACCATCCTTAGCTGACTGCCAGAATGGCAGGATTTTGTAGACTCTGATATTTTGGGAGCAGCACTGTCAAAATAAACTGATTACAGGGCAAGAGCATTGATCAGGACATGTAAGAGAATGAAAACACAGGTATGGGGATGGAAACTAAAGGGGAAGTAGACTACATTATTAATTATTAACTGTAATGGAGGGAGCTAACTACCTCGGCTCCCAATACAAAAAATTTATCTGGATTTAAAACAGTGTTAATTGACCTCTGTGCCAAAGAGCTGCTATTCAGGGTTGGATCTTCAGCTTCTCTCCTAGGATTTAGCTTCCTCCCTCCCAATTAGGGTTGCCAGGTGTCCGGTTTTGAACCGGACAGTCCAGTATTTGATCTTTCTGTTTGGGAAACGAGTTGAAAAAATGTAAATGTCTGGTATTTTCTAAATAGGATGTAATGTAGATTGTGATGTAATGTCAAGTATGATCGGTATTTTTGTTGAACCCATCTGGCAACCCTACTCCCAATCCTCTGGCTCCCTCCTTGGTGAGGGGGATGAGAGAACACACGGGAGCATCATCAGCCTAATAATGTCCCCCAGTTATCTCATAGGTCTCTTATCCCCATTCACCTTTGGTAGTTGGCCCCTCTAAGCCTCTCACCCACGCTGAACAGTAGTCGCAAGCGGTGTCAATTACAAACTCATTTATACACTTACAACTTTCAAATCCTGTCTTTGCTTCCTATTTATCTAAAACGAGGCCTCCAGGATGCTGCTAAGGAAGTTGAAATAACCCTCCAGGAACCTTGTCAAACTTACCCTGAGGGAAAAATTCCTTTCTAATCCCAAAATCTGGCACACAGTTAAACAATTTAACTATACCTCCACAACAGAACAGGAAGCAGCAATTACCGCAGAATTGCTGCTGCACACTATGATGAAGGAGGGGAAAGATAATAGAAACAAAGCTGGTGAACGGTCCCTGACGTGTTCCTACCCTCAGGCGTGGGAAATGAAGATGTGGTGTGATAGGGGGAGGTGCTGCAGTACCCCCCAGGTTTTCCACCCACCTTCCCCACGCCCAGGGGCCGGCTCTGCTGCAAATCCACCGTCAGCTCCACCAGCCTCAAGTCCCAGCCTCTGAGTGGCTTCTCCAGGGTCCTACCATCCCGCTAACACTGGCTCTGGAGGTGCCACTGCCACTAGGGGTCCCACTACTGGCCTGGGGCTTTGTAGCTGCCTCCAGCTGAGGCTAAGTTGCCAACTCTCCCAGACTGGATGCCATTTGCAGCAATGGTGTCTCGTCCATGAGAGTTGGCAGTCCTAGGTGTGACCCCAGCCTGGGGCAGTGAGGGACACAAACAGATGTGGGGGGGGGCACTGCTCAGCACCGCACCCTAAAAATAGTTCCAGTGCCACTGTTCCTGCCCCTGGGGCTAGTCACCATGGGGAAAAGGAGGGTCCAGAGCTCCCCTCGGTGTCTTGGACTCCCTACATGTCTCTTACCATATCTTGGCTCTGGCTTCTGACCTGGCTAGGGGGTGGAACCTTGGGGAGGAGAGAGAAGGAGCAGGGGATGGCAGAAGGAAGGTTGAGGAGTGGGCAAAAATTCTTTGTGCTCAGGCCCTCAATAAATCTTATTCCACCTCTGGCTGCAGAGGTAGCTGCACTGGTGCACACCTGTTGTACTTCCGTGAAGATGCTGCTACTCCGATGGGAGGGCTTGTTAATTCACCTCTGAGAGAGATGGTGGCAGTTTGACAGGAGAAGCTCTCCTGTGGACGTAGCACTGCCAACGTTGGGGGTTAGGTTGGTGTAACTTCATTCCTCGTGGGGGAGATGTGTGGGTTTTTTCACCTACTTGAGCAAAGTAGTTATACCAATGTAAGTCTGTAGTGTAGCGCTGGCCTGAGAGTTTACCCAGGAATAAGAAAATCCTCTGTAGGGTAATAGGTGCCCAGATGGATTGTATTTCAGGATCAGGGCCTTTATACAGCTCTTTTATTATGATTAAGTGCTTTATAAAGGCTGGATTTTCTTTACTTTACTCTGCCGTAGCTGAAATATGTGGAATACAATTTAATGACTTAGTGCATTTGTCAAGCACATATTTTAATGATTGCAATTTATGTCCTATAGATTTCTAGCTCTGTGATTGCGCCTACATCTTAGCTACTTAGTCAGGTAAATACAGCTGCTAATAGGAAGGCCACGTGTAGGAATCCAGCTCTGGGTATGTGGGTTTATACACACAAATTTACATTAGTATGCTCTGCAAGTAGAATGAGGTATTTATAATGATCATTATAATTTGCTCTTACCACAGGCGTAGCTGACATTAAGATATTTTTTCACTCCAGGCAGGCATGGACTTCCAAAATCATTGTTGTTGACAATAACTTTACATCTCTGTTTCCCATAACATCTCCTTGATAATACTTCTAAAGCTGCATAGGATATACAGTCTGAAAGAAAAAAAATCTGAAATGTTGATTATATATTTATCAAAGACAATATCTACCACATGCATGCTATACAGGCAGTCCCCGAGGTACGCGGATCCGACTTACGAACGGGCCGTTCCTCTCCCTGGTCTCTGCTTTTCCGGAAAAGCAGAGACCAGGGAGAGGAAGCAAAGCGGCGGAACACGTGGGCAGCGGACAGCCCTGTCTGCTGCCCACGTGTTCCGCCGCTTTGCTTCCTCTCCCTGGTCTCTGCTTTTCCGGAAAAGCAGAGACCAGGGAGAGGAAGCAAAGCGGCGGAACACGTGGGCAGCGGACAGCCCTGTCTGCTGCCCACGTGTTCCGCCGCTTTGCTTCCTCTCCCTGGTCTCTGCTTTTCCGGAAAAGCAGAGACCAGGGAGAGGAAGCAAAGCGGCGGAACACGTGGGCAGCGGACAGCCCTGTCTGCTGCCCACGTGTTCCGCCGCTTTGCTTCCTCTCCCTGGTCTCTGCTTTTCCGGAAAAGCAGAGACCAGGGAGAGGAAGCAAAGCGGCGGAACACGTGGGCAGCGGACAGCCCTGTCTGCTGCCCACGTGTTCCGCCGCTTTGCTTCCTCTCCCTGGTCTCTGCTTTTCCGGAAAAGCAGAGACCAGGGAGAGGAAGCAAAGCGGCGGAACACGTGGGCAGCGGACAGCCCTGTCTGCTGCCCACGTGTTCCGCCGCTTTGCTTCCTCTCCCTGGTCTCTGCTTTTCCGGAAAAGCAGAGACCAGGGAGAGGAAGCAAAGCGGCGGAACACGTGGGCAGCGGACAGCCCTGTCTGCTGCCCACGTGTTCCGCCGCTTTGCTTCCTCTCCCTGGTCTCTGCTTTTCCGGAAAAGCAGAGACCAGGGAGAGGAAGCAAAGCGGCGGAACACGTGGGCAGCGGACAGCCCTGTCTGCTGCCCACGTGTTCCGCCGCTTTGCTTCCTCTCCCTGGTCTCTGCTTTTCCGGAAAAGCAGAGACCAGGGAGAGGAACGGCCCGTTCGTAAGTCGGATCCGCGTAACTCGGGGACTGCCTGTACTTATGAACCTGAACCTGCCATCCAAATTCAGTGAAAATATCCATTAATTTCAAAGATGTTTTACCTAATCGGACTGCAGAATTAAGTATTGGCTTTGTTCATTGAATATAAATTTACCCTGCTAACTTTTACATTTTCCTTGTATTTATTAGGACCTGGGATTTGTATTCATGTTGCACATCAAAAATATGCTCCCAGTATCAATAACATTCCATCTGTAGTAATTTTATAAAAATAAACTCATCCAACTGGATTCTACATTGAAGGTGAAATAAACTGAATAGGAAAGTTTATATATTATACCTACATGCTTTAATCTACTTCAGAAAATGTACAATAGCTTTAACAAAACCAATAGAAAAAGTACATTTTTGTCTTGGTTTTTAAATACAAAACCTTCTAAAATTGGAAGTCAAGAGAAGCTCATTGTTTTCTGGAGCTCTCTGCTCCCAACAAATGTTATTTCATGTTCTGCCTGGCTTTCCATAAAGGATGGGTGCTTTCTTTTTGGAATCTCCAGCTGGACACTTTGAAGAGGTGAGAAATATTTTACTCCCTTTGATCACAAATGTCAAACAAAGTATCTTTTTCCTCTTTATTTCCCTCTGGGTTGGTTAGTGCTACTTTGGAAGAAACATTCTTATGATCACAAGAAGTTTAAATAAGTTTTACAACAGATTTGACAATTCATAAATCAGTTACCTTTGAAAAGAAAATGGAGACTTGATATTGAGGTTTTTGACAAAAATCAAAATTTGAAATCCAGAGAATGAAGATCTGTAACTTATATAATTCTTTTAAATGCAGACCAGACTTAAACAACTAGGAGCAACCTGAATTCCTGAGTAGCCAGTCTTAAGATCACATTCATTTGTTTTGTTTGTTTTTGCAAATGGCTAAACTTTAATTTGCAAAATCTTCTGACCACAATACACATGTCTGTCTGTCTCACTCTCACAGCGACATTTTATAAACTCGGGGCTGACAAAAAGGAGGCAGAGTTTTGATTCAGTGACTCAGCTGTTTTAGTCTCCATGTTGGTGTTTTTGAACCTTGGAATACTTAGATTATGTGAACATTTTTAGGGCTGTTTCTGCAGCAAAATATTTCATCTTGGCAAGTAAGAAAGCAACTAAATGTATTGTAGAAGAGATATCAGATGACCCATACAGGAACTGCTCATGGTAATAATATTGTTCTTGAATGTTTAATTATATTTTCTACATTTCTTGCTCTGTTTTTAATTGTATTTGTATGAATGGTGCTTTATAAGAGGCTCAAGCCATTGGTTTGCTTATTTCATTCAAGTACAATAACATAATGAGTACATGTTTAATTTCAGGTTTTTTAGGTGTTGGTTCATGTTGCTGTTCAAGTTAATAGTTCCTTTTAATCCATATTCATATTGACTTTGGGTTAGGCTCCTCTACCTAAGCCATTCTTGGCACATCACATAGATGGATAGGGCTCTTGGCAGCTAAATGGTACTGAGGAAATTCCAGAATCTGCTTGATTTCATGTTGGGTGGATCCATTCCAACCTCTCATGCTAGTTATTTGTCCTTTATTCTTTTGCAGGAAGGTGTAGTTTTTCTATGCCTTACATGAAAACTATTTAATTGCTCTCTGTAGGCTATCCAATGTTTAACAGCTAAACAATTCAGTTCAAAATGTTATACCTCTTCATGTATACTTTTTGTGTATGCTTGTTATCTTTCAGAAAAATTCTGTATAATTAATATTAAAGAGTACATTTTCAAGAACAGCCTCAAAATGCACTCCTGCAATTTTGCTCATGCAAATCTCCCCAAGCAGAAATTACACAGATGAATCAAAGAGATGCCAAACCAGGCAAACCACATATGCTTTTGCTGTTCTCACATTCAAATTCAGGTTTTTGAATGCACCAAATGGCAGGTACAAATTATGAGATTGGACTGAAGTATCTTTGAACTCATTCATCTGGGCCAAATTTTTATTCTTCTCTTGATTGCTGCGCCAACTTGTAGTTGGTGCCTAGTTATTTTTCTTCTGCCATCTATCATGTTGTATGTTGGTTGTCTCACCTATTTCCTCTCTCTTTCTCTCCACTGTCCATTCTGAGCCTTTTTCTCTAAAGGTGCGTCTATAAAGCACCCTAATCTTGAAATAAGATACGCAATTTGCGCTAAGCAAATTGCATATCTTATTTTGATTCTATTTCAAAATAGCTTATTTTGAAATTTGGCACATCTACACAATGTCAAATTTCAAAATAGTTGTGCAGTGTAGATGTACACTAGGGCTACGTCTACACTGGCACCCTTTTCCGGAAATGCTTAAAACGGAACAGTTTTCCGTTATAAATATTTCCGGGAAAAGCGCGTCTACATTGGCAGGATGCTTTTCCGGAAAAGCACTTTTTCCGGAAAAGTGTCCGTGGCCAATATAGACGCGCTTTTCCGGAAAAAAGCCCCAATCGTCATTTTCGCAATCAGGGCTTTTTTGCGGAAAAGACTACTGTGCTGTCTACACTGGCCCTTTTCTGGAATAGTTTTTCCGGAAAAACACTGACAATTTTACAGTAGATAGTCATTGCTTTTCCGGAAAAGCAAGCGGCCAGTGTAGACAGCTGGCAAGTTATTCCGGAAAAGCGGCTGCTTTTCCGGATTTCCCCTGTATGTCTCTAATAGTAGTTTTGCCTTCTGTCTTTCATTCTTATTTTTGTTCTTTTACCTTGTTTTTTCATGCTAGACCTTTTAGTCCACTTTGTCCTCTTTTTGTCTCCAAGTTTCTCCACTTCCTTGTTTCATTTCTTTCCCCTCTCTCTGCTGCCACTGCTATGTGTTCTCTTTTAGGGCTTGTTTCACTGCTAAAAAAGTACTCTTTTTACCTCAGGGTAGCTAACATACATGAGCTATCATGAAGTAAAAAACAGGGAGACCAGGCACTTTAGCTTTACGTGAGGTAATCCAGATGAGGTCAATTCTATATCCCCAGTGGGGGTATGATCTCACCTAGTTTACTTCATGGTAAATCTGAAGTACTTTGTCCTCACGGTGCATCTACTGCAGGCTAGTTCATTCATTTGTGTCCTTAGGTGCCCCTTTGATTTCATACCCTACACACTACTGCAATAATATTTGTGCAAAATATACCTTGTGAGGTGCAATATGAAAGCTAAAAATATGCTGAATAGTAATATATAATTATAGTAATATAATTTTATAATGCATATGTTAACATTATAGGTAAACTTAAGAATTCCTTCTGCATGTTACTAGAACATGTTTATCACCTTTTACCTAGGCAAGACTGTCTAGTCTTAAACAGGTCTGTCCTAGACAAAGGAAAGTGTGAATTAAGGTAAACACACATGTTAATAATAAACAAAGCCACTGCACTAAACCAACAGGGTTTAACCTGATCTTGAACTCAAAATACAGAGAATTCACACAGCTCATACACCCCAAACAGACACTGAATCTCTAGTATGACAAAGCAGAGGCCTTTGGTGAAGAGGAGACGTGGGGGCTACGGCCACATGACACTCGCAGCCCGAGGAAAGGCCGGGTTTTCCCCTCTTTGCCCCAGACCCTGCCTCTCCCTGCCCCTGCTCTGCTCCATTGTCTCCTCATCCCCACCCTGCCTTTGCATCCCCACCCTGCCTCTTCCCTTGGTGGGCACTGGCAGTGAGGGTCCTTCCCCATACTCACCAGTAGCGGTGGGGGAAGTGGAGCAAGGCGGCCCCCAGTAGCTTGGTTTGCTTCCCTGGCCAGAGCATGCCGCTTCCCACCAGTGAGTGTGGGGCAGGAGAGCAAAGCTGCTGGGGACACAGAGGGCTGGACCCTTGCTGTGGGCATTTCCTCCCACTAGTCACCCCACCAGCTGCTGGCTGGCTCCTCCCCATATGTCGCCCCTGTGACAAAGGCATCTTTTGGAGGATATAAAGAACAGAGAGAGTCTCCATCTTGATCCTTTA